CTCAGGCAATCCACTCACCTCAGCCTCCCAAAGGCGCGGGATACAGGCTGAGCCATCGTGCATTTCTTAAGCTGCTAAGTCACACCGCTGGATGCCGCGCAGAGCCACGGCCACCCCGGCTGGCACACAGCATAGCTCAGCCACGGTTATCAGCAGCCACTCTACTTCAGGCCTACTTGATCAGTGACATCAGTGACATGAGGAAGGCCCAGTGCTTAGCTAACCCTCCCGTAGCCTGTCCCTCACCTGCTTTGGTGTTGACACCCCTTGAACACTTATGCAGTCAGCTCTCTTAGTCATTGTTTGGCCGAGCTGTAAATAGCCATTTATAACTATTTATAGCACAATGAGCTAATGTCGCCTTTTCAGAAAAACAAAGTGCAATCCTAAACTACCTTGGTAAAAGATGAAGAGAACAGTTACCCTATTTGCAAACAGGGATAACTCTCCCCTTCTGCACTCCCCACTGCAGGCAGGTCTCTGGCAAGACAACTGAGAAATGATGAGGCATTTCCCAGATGAGACACAGATAAATAATCTAGAGCCATTAAGAGCGGGGGCCTAAGAGAACAAAGTTCTACCTCGCCACACACGATGGCCAATGCCTGTAATCCCAACGTTCTGGGAGGCCAGTGCGGTAGGACTGCTTGAACCCAGGAGTTCAAGACTAGCCCAGGCAGCATAGCAAGATCTGTCTATACAAAAAATTTTAAAAAGAGCCAGGTATGGTGGCATGCACCTATAGTCCCAGACACTTGAGATGTGGAAGCAGAAACAACCGCCTGAGCCCAGAAAGTCGGGCCTTCCTGAGCCATGATCCTGACACTGCACTCCAGCCTGGGCAACAGAGATTCCGATTCCAAAACAAAAAAACTCAAATTGTAGGTATCAAATCTGACTTTCAAGTGAATGGGACTCCATTACAATGAAGATTACTATTTTTTTTTTTTGGAGTTGGAGTCTCACTCTGTCGCCCAGACTGGAGTGCAGTGGCCACTACCGGCCACCGCAGCCTCTCCTGCTGGGCTCCGGCGATCCTTCCGCCTCAGCCTTCCGAGTAGCCGGAACTACAGGCATGCGCTACCACGCCCAGCTGATTTTTTGATTTATTGTAGAGATGAGGTCTCGCTGCCCAGGCGGGTCTCGAACCCGCGGGCTCAGGCAGTCCACTCACCTCAGCCTCCCAAAGGCGCGGGATTACAGGCTGAGCCACCGAGCACGGCTTGAAGATTACTATTAAAACAATGGGGACCCCTACAGGAATCAGGCCAGTACAGTCTGCTTCTTCTTCCTGTTATTTGTAATTCCGTGGGCACTAAAGTACTGCATTTTCAGGGATGAAAAACTACTTGGGGTACAGCAAGTCCAAGCATATTTAAAGTGGCCCAAGCAAGGGCATTGATATTACTAAAAATTGTAGTTTACTTGTCACAGAACCTTAGCAGAGACAGTGAAAAGGAGATAAACACGAGCATTTTTTTATATCAACCATATCCAAAATTAGAAGCCTAAATGGATCTCTCTTTTAGGAATTTAGGAACTTCCGTCAGCCCAGGAAAGAAGGTTCATGAATGTCTCGATCCCTCAAATCTCCACTCAGATGTGCTCTTCTCGCCTCGAAACGCTGTCCTTCCTACTACCGAATGACACTTGTTGCATACAACCTATTCTTACAATCTGTACAGAGGCCAAGGTCAGTCAACCAATACACATTTTGTATTTTCTACGCATTAGGCACTGTTCTATACACAATGAGTCCTGCCCTCAAGGAACAGTCTAGAGGAGAGATAATTGATAAGCACACAAACCTAACAATAGCTCTCGATCAAAAGTTTAAAAATGATAGCATCGTGCATGTGTGTATGGTGGAGGCTGTGGTTTTAGTTTGGCTGGCCAAGAAAGGCCACTCTAAACTCAAACAAGCCTCCTCAGAGTGACCTTTCTTGACTGCTCTAGAAGAGAAACCTGGTGGCCACGCGAGGACTTTGGGAAGAACATTCCAAAGGGAAGGAAAGGCCAGTGCCAGAGCTCTCCAAACTGAAATGAGCTTCATGTGTGCACGGAATACAAAGGCGGCTTACATGGCTTAGTATGGTGAACAATGAGGAAAATAAAGGGAATAAGGAATAAAGGTCGGGGCGCAGATGCTGTAGGAAGCTGGAAGCCAAAGCAAGAAATTTAGATTTTGTTCCGTTTCGGAGGCAGGCACTGGAAGGTTTCAAGCCATGGACTACTGTTAAGACTCTCAAAGATCACAGTTGCTACTTCGTATGAATAGTTAAAGCACGGAACTGAATGAGAGTTACCCATGGAAAGAAACAGGTTTTTTTTTAAAAAAAAAAAAAAAGAAGATCCAGGATGGAGCTCTGGGCACTTGAATATCAGAGGCTTGATGGAATCAATAGCTCCAAAAGAGGTGACAGAGAAGGAACAGTTAGCAGAAGGGAAGCCAAGCAAGTGAGGCTGTGCTGAAGCTTAGAGGCAAAGGTGTCTCCAGCATCATGTTGATGTAGGTCAGAAAGATGAGGACAGGATGGCATGGGCAAGATGGAGCTCCCTAGCGGCCCCGAGAAGAGGGAAATGCCTTCTGTGGACTGGAGTTCTGACAAACCAACTGGAATACTTTGGCTCCGCTACCGGAAGTCTTTGCTAAGGTTAGTTTTAAATGTATTTAAGTGTATTTTCATTTATTTACAAAATATGAAATATATATATAAGGCCAGTTTCCCCAATACCTTTGCTCAGATGTGCTAAAAAAAAAAAGAATAAATAAATTTAAGTAAATGAAAAATTGCTTAAGAAATCTTCAAATATTTCAAGATAGCCTCTATTACACATCATAGTTATTCTCCAGTTGCTGCATTTGTTTCCAACACACTCATGTTCCTCTCCTATCTAGAGAATCAACCACTCACTGCCAAAACTGTAAGAGCATAAATGAGCTCCATGTGTAGCAGGTGACTTGACCTGCTACCTCAAAAACCAAAAGCTGCTTAGACTCCAACTCAAAAAAAAAATACAAAATAAAATAAAAATAAAAATAAATAATTGTAACAATGGTAGGCTGACTCAATGGCTTCCAATGTGATCCTCACCAAATAGCAACTGAAAAGAAGTGGTTATCAAACTACCACGAATAAAGATCACCATAGGTGCTTATAAATGGTGGTTCCAAGGCGTCCCCAGGTGGGTATCGGTTGCGAGGGCTGAGAAATCGTATTTTTAAAAAGAGCTACCTTGGTAAATCTGACAGTTCATAAATCATACTTTGTGAAACAATGATGCAGAGGTTTAGAACAGAATCACGCACACAGTAAGAAACCACTGGGAAAAATCATCTCTGCCAACCCCAGCGCCCCATGACTTAGCTCCTGCAGTCATGGAGTCATTTCAGTAACTGCCAAGCATCCCATGTGCCTAGTTAAATGCAGTTCACACATTTGCAAAATCCTGACATTTAATTCTTTTCATCCACTGTTTGTGTATGCATATGCTTATGTAAGGCGAGATTTTTAAAAAGCACATATCTGCACGGCAGCCTTATAAAACGAATTCCCGCTCCCTTGAATATGCATTCATAAACTTAGAAAATGCATCTAAATAGTGAAGTCAGACAACTACTCACCTGCATTTCTGCAACTCAAATGTTTAAAAGAACGTGGAGAGCTGATGCCAAAAGACCTATTCCCACAACAGAACTTGCACTGTATGTGTTTTTGAATGAATATAAATAAATCCTCATTTATCATTTTCTGCTGAGTTAACACCTATATACAGCTAGAAATTGCATTTCCAATGGAGTTCCCATTCAGCATTGCATAAGAATAGCTTCCTGATTGTTTGGAAAACCCTTTAATGTTTTCTCTAACACTTATCCTAGGGCTGGGTAGGGAATTTCAAGAAAAAAGGAAATAAGACAAGTGATCAGTTTTAAGTGAGAGAACAGGTTATCCACAGGCGAGTACACAGGGTTGAGAAGGAAGGACAGTCATGACATAAAATTGTTTGAAAAAAGAAATGAAATCAAGAATTAAAAATAGAATTACATTTTCTACTTGGCAATACACAAACAACACTAAGTGCACTTCATAAATTTTACTATTGCTGCTCTAAGTGATATGACCATAAATCACATTAGCGGTGTCCTTGGCACTTTTGAAAAGCAGAAAGGAGCAAGCATGTCAGTTAGCTTAAACCGCTCTGTTATCTCCGAAGAGAGTGGAAGGGAAATGATCGCCAGCGTTTCCTGGGTTTAGAAACCCAGTTCTGGCTCCTCGGCCCCCATGCCGGGCCTCTACCTCTCGCTTCGGCACAACACAGAGTGTGAGCTGCCGGCCATCTCCAGAAAGACATTCCTGGTTGCCTTCTCGCTGCTTTTTACCTGGTGTGTGAGGGGAGACGGTCGCTTGCCCCTTTTCTCGTCGCGGACAGGAAAGAGAGACTTGAGGAGCTTTGGCATCTGGGGCACGAGGGACTTGACTGGATTCAAGTAGGAGGCTGCCAGGCTACTGAGCCCTGCCAATATTGCAAGGAAAAAGACGGAACAAAAACAATTATGCAGACATCTTCTTTCCTGTAAATGTGTTAAACATCACTTGTAAGCAAATCTAACAGTATAAATCAAAGGTATCCCTCAAACGTAATATTAGAAAAACATAGCACTATTGCAGTTACCCTCAAACACAGTCATGTCTCCTTTCCAATTACATAGCAGTAACTGGGGGGACTACCAGAGCATTCTAACGTACAGTGTTCCTCTCAGTACCAGAAGGGTAAGCCACCCCCGTCTCTGCCACTACTTGGTACAAGTAATCACTTCTGCCCTAGGATAAAATGGGACCTCATCTTGAGCCACGTCGCCAGTGACACACATGTACAGCCCTCTGGTTAGACTTTAAGCTCTCTGAAATCAGGGACTATGTCTTTTTTTTTTTTTTTTTTTTTTTTTTTTTTGAGAAAGCAGGATTTATTGAGAGGACAGAAAGGCTCCCACAGTGGCAGCGGGCCCAAAGGGGTTGCCCCTGCTATGTCTTATTCAATCTAATGTTTCATAACTACTTACTGAAGGAAGATGATGAAACGGACCTTCTGAGAAAAGAGTAGTGGTGTTTGAGTTCTTTGTTACAAGACAAGAACAGATAACCCTGAGCTACTTATGTTCTTACCTGCTGTTAATTACCAACGGCTGGGATCAGAGGTGCAGAAAATATTAATATACTATTTTCCTCCCACTAATTTATAGTAAAATCTAATCTAAGTCATAAGTGATAAAACCCCTCATCCACATCGCACTTTTAGAAGAACAAGGAAGTCTTTTTGAGGAGTATGTATTCTGCCTCAGCAGAGGGGCATAACTGCCCCAGGCCTCTCCTCCACACTAACCCTGGAAGGACTCCAACCTCACTGGCAACACAGATGGTTAAATGGACCGAGATAGTTGTAAGGCCTCAACATTTCACATAAAGTAGTAGAATATTAACTCTAAGTAGACTATGAAAAATCGAGACATGTATATTATAATCATGAAAGCAACCACTAAGAAGAGAAAAAGCAAAGAGCTGGTTAGAACGCCAAGAAATACAACTGAGTTTAGAAAAGTCAGATAACTTACAAGAAGGTAAAACCAGGTAGAAACAGGAAGGGAGATAAAAAGAAAACAGAGTAAGTGTAAGATGAATAAACAGCCAGAAAAATAGTCTCACAGATAAGGAAAAAAAATATCACAAATGATCTAGAGTTCAATATCAAGTTAAACTATTATTTGAGAGTAAGGATGATTCCTAATAAGAATCTAGCCAATAATCAACCAAAGGCTGTACATACCACAAAACAAGAGAATATCAGACATTATGTCTCTACCCTCCCCAACACGCGCACACACACAACCCTCAAATTTGTCCGAAGCTGATCAAGGCTCCAGCTCTAACTACCAGTTTATAGGAAATACAGGGCATAGAGAATCAAGTTTTTAAGAATCTCATGACAATGCAATCAGAAAAAAACAAGAACCTGGTTTCTTCAAGATAATGCATGAGAGTGAAATATCCCTCAGCAATAAAAAGTAAATTACGGCCAGGCGCAGGGGCTCAAGCCCGTAATCCCAGCACTTTGGGAAGCCGAGGCGAGAGGATTGCCTGAGCCCATGGATTTGAGACCAGCCTGGGCAACTTGGCAAGACCAAGTCTCTACAATAAATCAAAAAATTAACCAGGGATGGTGACACACGCCAGTAGTTCCAGCTACTTGGAAGGCTGAGGAGGAAGGATTACCTGAGCACAGCAGGTTGAGGTTGTGGTGGCCGTGAGCGTACCACTGTACTCCAACCTGGGCAACAGAGTGAGACTCCAACTCAAAAAAAAAAAAATTACTAATGCAAGCAGCAACACTGAAGACATTAATACATACAGTGAGCAAAAGAGCCAGACACAAAGACTATATATTATATGGCTCCATTTATATGAAATTACAGAAGTAATCTACAGAAATAGAAATCATAACACTGGATGACCATGGGGTGTGGAAATTAACCGGAGTCATGCAAATATTCTACATCTGGGATGTAAATTGCATGGGTGTATATAAACACATTTGGCAAAACTTATTAAATATGACTCACAGTCAACAAAAAAGGAGTCAATAAAAATAAGACCATGAGATGGTCCAGATGCTGGGTTTAGCAGACAAACACTTGAAGTCAGCTTTTAAAAACAATTCCAAGGATGCAAGAAAAAGATGGTCGTAACAAATGCACAGATAGGCAGTATCAGCAGAGAACTTAAAATCCTAAAAGAAGTGGCAAGAGGAAATTCTAGAATCAGAAAAGAACAATAACTGAAATGAAAAATTCCCTGGATGTGCTGAACACAACACTAGAAACAGTACAAATGGTTCAACTAGAATAAATAAGATTGAAAGGTTGAAAAGGATAGAGTTTCTGTGACTGGTCGGGAAATATTAAGCACTCTAACCTGTGTGTCGTTAGATTCTCAGGAAAAACAGAATGCCTTTCTCTCTTGTGGGGGAAAATGTTTTAATGAATAATGGCTAAACATTTCCCAAATTTGTTGAAAAACACCAACTTACGGATTCAAGAACATTGGTGAAATCCAAGCAAGATAAACACTAAGAAAACTTAAGCAAATCATAGTACAACTGCTAAAAACAAAGATAAAGAGAAAATTTTGAGAGCAGATAAACCAAACAACGGCATAACACATGGAAGAGGAAGTGACAAATGATGGCTGAATTCTCAGCAGGAAAGAAGCATGTGGGAGACAAAGAAACATCTTTGAAGCGCTAAAAGAAAAAACCCATCAACCCAGAATAGAATTCTCTATCTAGTGAAAATATCTTTAAAAAACAAACAAGTAAACAGTGAAATAAAGATATTTCTCAAAAGAGGAGACCATTTTTTTTCAGGAGTGCTGCACTATTAAAAAAAATACTAGGCCGGGCTTGGTGGCTCAGCCTGTAATCCCAGCGCTTTAGGAGGCCGAGGTGAGTGGATTGCCTGAGCCCACAGGTTCGAGACCTGCCCAGGCAACTTGGTGAGACCTCATCTCTACAATAAATCAAAAATTAGCCGGGCGTGGTAGCGTGCACCTGTAGTTCCAGCTACTTGGAAGGCTGAGGCGGAAGGATCACTGGAGTCCAGCAGGTAGAGGCTGTGGTGGCTGGGAGCATGCCACTGCACTCCAGTCTGGGTGATGAAGTGAGACTCCAACTCAAAAAAAAAAAAAAAATACTAAACAATATTCTTCCGGGCTAAAGACAAATGAAATCAGACAAAAATAAGATCTTCAGAAAGGACTGGATGGTGCAAGAAATAATAAATAAGAGGAATAACAAAAGATTATCCTCTTTTTCTGTATTCTTTTAGTTTTCTTAAAGACAAACTACTGTTTTAAAGCAAAAAAGCCGGGCTCGGTGGCTCAACCTGTAATCCCGCACCTTTGGGAAGCTGAGGTGAGAGGATTGCCAGAGCCCGCAGGTTCGAGACCCGCCTGGGCAGCGAGACCTCATCTCTACAATAAATCAAAACATCAGCCGGGCGTGGTAGTGCATGCCTGTAATTCCGGCTATTCGGAAGGCTGAGGTGGAAGGATCGCCGGAGCCCAGCAGGTTGAGGCTGCGGTGGCTGGGAGCGGCCAATGCACTCCAGTCTGGGCGACAGAGTGAGACTCCAACTAAAAAAATAAAAAATAAAATTATATATATATATAAAACTTATGAAAATAGACTCATCTGGATTCAGAACTAGATCTACGGAAAAAAAATTAAAATTAAAAAGAGATCCATAAGGAAATATAAAAATCTCAATAACCCTCTATTAAAGAAACTGAAGTCATAATTTAAAATCTCACCAAGAAACTTCAAAGCCCAGAGAGTGTCACTGGGGAATTCTGTCAAACATTTAAGAAAGAAGTAATCCAATCTTACATAACCTCTTCCAGAAAAAAGATGAGGAAATACATTTCCTAAGTCATTTTATGAGGCCAATGTTACCTTGATAACAAAGCATAACAAAGATGTGAGAAAATTTAAAAACTACAGATATTCATTATAGACCACGTACACTAAAATCCTGAACAAAATATGAACAAAGACCATCAAGCAATATAAAGGATAATACGCCATGATCAAGTGGCATTTGTCAGAGGAATGCAAGATAAATTCAACATGCCAAAATCAATGTTACTCAACATGTTAAGACAGGAAAGGAAAAAATTCAGATGGACATTAACTAGTAGAACAGGGGTTACCTAGCAGGAAATCCTGACTTATACTTTCAGGAGGATGCTCAAATATCCTGCTAGTGACTGACAAGTGAAAAGATGACTTACCTGGATCCGGAGAATGGTTACTCTGGGGACAAACAGAGAGGGAAGGGGGCACTGGAGCCATTCCTCTGGAAACTGTTGTTTGGGATACATCCTGCTGACTTTCCCACCGGCCCTAGTAAGAATCAATTAAAAAAATTTGGAGATAGTCAAGAAAAAGTCATTACATATCCCTAAAGCTTTATTCCCTTTACAGGACAGGATAAGTTTGATTACATAAGCATTTCTTATACTTGTCATCCAGCTTATTGTATCAATTTCCCTAATAATAGTAACACCCCCTGTCTGGACAGCCCCTCCACTTGACAATTTACAATCTCCCAATAAGTCCATCCTAACAGTCTTCCTACCACAGACATCATGTTGCCGCCCCACAAAATATGGTTACACTCCTGCAATTCTCCCTTAAGTTCTACTTCCGAGGCCATTTCTGCTCTTCTGCTGCAAGACACCCTCTTCACTTAGCTTCTCAACTGAAACCCAGGAGCAGCTCTGTTGTTGGAAGTTGTCTCTTCTCCCCACTCCTAGAGTGTATGTTTCCATCCATTCACACATAGTTCATATACGTAAAAATTCTCGAACAGTGTATTACCAAGCCTCTCACTTTAAATAGATACTAACGATAAATGACAGTTGAATCCAAGTCAAATCACCACGAGTTCTCAATTATGGAAGTCTCTGAATTAGTAAATGTCATGACACTCTCAACTTATTTTGTAAATTCCCATTAAAGAGATTTCATCAGCTGATGGATTAAAAGACCATTCTAAAACTCATGGTGAGCCATAAAAATGGTGATATCATCAAAGCACTTTGAACATCAGTCCTATCTAGTAAAGAAATAAACCCCAACCAAATGTTACTCATAGAAAAATTGGTCAGAGATGAGACGCGTATCTTTTAAATGCTCTAAGTTCCCTTTGAGCCCCTGATAATCGCGCTGACTTCCTTTCACTAGAGCTTAATAACTGTATATAGTACGAGCTTAAGCTAGCATTCCGCAGATGACTGACTCTGACGATTAACTCCAGTCTTCTTTACTAACTGCCTGGAAGCAGGATGGGGACAGAGAGCTCTCCACCACTCTTGAAGATGGATTGAGGTGGAAAGGCCTCTTAGGTTTCGGATATGTATTGGCAACCTATCTGCTTTTAGCAGCAACCTAAGCACCGATCATAAAAATCAATAAGCCCTAAGTAATCTGGAGCCTGTTTACCTCAGAGATTGCCACTTTTTCCCAGGAACTCTATCGGCACTTGGTCTCATTTTTAAAAATGGTATGATGCTCAGCATTCATTAGGAAGCAAGGAAAGCAAAGCAGGCAGGATAACATGGTCAGGGAGACCATAAACTCTGAAATACTTCACTGGAGGCACACTGGCGTTACTATGCATCACACACTGATTTACATACTTTAATGTTTTGCTAATGATTTTTACATTTAAATTTAATTATCTGTCTGGGAAGGTGCAGTTTTGTGTACCCTGGGATATCACAAGGAGGTGATTGAACACGAAGGTCAATAATCTTTGGAGCTTCCTAGAGGAAGAAAAGCCTCATGCTTTGTTCATAGTGTCAAGTTCAAACAAGGTTGTTCTGAAGACAACTTTCTTAATTTGAGAATACATTTACTTCCATATTTTAGATTTTCTTGTTTGGCAGCTGACACAGTTGCATTCTGTCCCTCAGGAAAACTAAGTAGCTGATTTGGAGTCAGTTCCTGGGCTGTTTGACGTAGACCAGCAGTGACAAATCATGGAGGTGTCACCTTTTTCCTAAGGCACAGGCGGGGCTCTGCTAGCTTCACGGACAGTTCTTCCCAGCTGGCACTCCCACACGCAATGTCACTACCAGATGAGAACAGAAGCCATAACTCTGTCTCACACACTCAAATATTCCAGGCGAGAACCTCTGAAAGGATGCACACAGTGTTTACATCCCACCTCCGCCGTACTGCCAGTCCCGAGCTCACAGGAAACAGAGACCCAGCTCACACCCATCCCCCTCCCCCAATAGGCACCTTAGCCTTGAGGAACCTCACCCTTGCTCCTGCTCCCAGGTCCCACTGCCCAGAGATGAAGCTCTCACATCACCCTGGGATAGAATGGGCTCTGCTTCAGAGGAAACCACAAACTGGGGTGATAAACTGGGTTCAGCACTCTTCCCTTCTCCAGCCCTCACCACAGACCTCTGGGAAACACTCCACTGAAATCGCTCGCTGGACTCATTTCTCCTGTCCTACACTCCCATTCTCTTGGCAGAGATGAAACCTGTGGTTCAGGGTCTGGCTATACACACTGTCCCCCAGGGACAAGGCAACGGCTATCTTTCCAATCAATTCTAGAGTTCGCCTGTCTTTACTGAAATGTTGGGGGAGTCAAAAACACTGAAGCAACTCAGTTCAAGATACTTCAGAGGAAGGTAAGCTCAGATCTGTGAATAAAAAAAAAAAAACTTCGCAAAACATTGGGACTTTGGGCTCCTGTAATAGCTCAGGTCTAAAAGTGAAAGGGTATAATTGTTTTACATCTACCAGTGAGCTACACCCCACCACCCAAAATCTAGTAAGATAAATCTCTGATCTGTTTCTAAGATTCTGCAAGTTTATAAACTTCAGAATCAGCCATGAGGAGGAGGGAGAGAGAGAAGGCCCTGGCTGGGTTTTAAGTCCCTAAACAAGCACCATCATTATTAGGGGGCATTATTCCCAGCAGGAGGAGTTCAAGGAAAGAAAGTGCTATTCCATACTGCATTACTTGTAGCTAGCATCATGCTTGGGGCAGAGCAGAATGGCAAGTTTCACAGGAACCCTCAGGTGAGAACTGACTCAGTCCCTGGGGGTGCCTGCAGTTTTCCTGTTCCTGCTCCTCTGTCAGATGCAAATTCTTCAGGTTTTCTGTGAAGGGGTCTGCTTTTATCAGGAAAGAGACAAAGAATAAATTAAGAGAAGTGCCCATGACATTTCGGGTCAGAGACAGCTTAGATTGTGACCGGGGGAGGAGTGGCTCAGGTTTGCAGCACCTTTACCAGGGTTGTGCTAAATGATCACAGTTTTCAGGAAGGTGACATAGACAAACCACACAACAGTCCTGTTAACTGGGTATTTGCTCAAGCTACTAATTTTAACTTCATCAAGAACACCGGGAAGACCCACTGAGCCAAATTCCATTGTCAAAAAACACTCAGAGTGCCTTTGCCATGTTTTGTTCCACTCACCCTCATGTATGCTTTCAAGACCCCAAAATGACAAACATACTACCTTACTAACTTATTAAAAAGATGTCTTCTAAAATGACTTTAGAAATGACAATGTTTTTGATGATAGCGTTCCTTGCACTGCATAGCCAATTTTGAGGTGGAAAAACCAGTAACGTGCTGAAATTAATCCTGCACCTAAATATCAATTGGTTGGCAGATGGTTATAAAAAACCTACAAAGTAGCCAGGCGGGGTGGCTCAGCCTGTCATCCCAGCACTTTGGGAGGCCGAGGCGAATGGATTGCCTGAGCCTGTGGGTTCAAGACCAGCCTGGGCAACTTGGCGAGACCTTGTCTCTACAACAAATAAAAAATTAGCGAGGCATGGTAACGCGTGTCTGTAATTCTAGCGTCTTGGAAGGCTGAGGCAGAAGGATTGTGGGAGCCCAGCAGGTCGACTCAGCACCACCTTGGGCAACGAAGTGAGACTCTGACTAAAAAAAAAAACAAAACCTACAAAGTTTTCATTACAGCTACAGAAAATATTCTTATAGTAGTGATTAAACATCCAATAACAGCAAATAGCAATCACTTCAATTAGGAATCATATTTTACATTTTTAATTGAAAGACTTACCCTAAGAGTAATTTCTTTCAGGCCCTGGACTGAATTTAAAATTTGGAATAGTTCATCAAAATCAAATTTTTTAAGATTAATTAATTCACCAATTCAACCTTAGTGGAGCTCAGTAAAATAATCCCAATTTTAATATGTAGGAAGCATCAACAAACAAGGGGGCTGGGCTTGGTGTCACAGCCTGTAATTCCAGTACTTTGGGAGGCTGAGGCAAGTGGATTGCCTGAGCCCAAGGGTTCGAGTCCAGCCCCGGCACCTTGGTGAGACCTCATCTCTACAATAAATAAATACAAATTAGTAGGGTGTGGTAGCGCATGCCTGTAGTTCCAACTACTTGAAAGGCTGAAGCAGAAGGATCGCGGGAGACCAGTAGGTCGACACTGGGGTGGCCGTGAGTGTGCCACTGTACTCCAGCCTGGGTGACAGTGAGACTCTAACTCAAATAAAATAAAATAAAATAAAATAAGGGAATGAAAAACAGGGCTGGCCTAAATCCAAGTGTTATTAGGCCAAACTGTAAGTTTGTTTTTAGAAACTCACCCCTTCTTCTCACCTCCTAACACTCTTCAACTCTTGCCTCCCTGTCACCTTCTCTATGTCACTCTTGCACCCAACTGAGGACTCTTTGCCACAATTTACCTGTAAACTAAGAGGGTGAGGGAGACTAAAACCGCCCGGTGGCCTCTCCCTGCTTCCAAACATGATTCAGCTCATCCGATTTGAATGCTCCCGGGTGTTGGGATACGATGTGGGAGACACAGCACATCAAACCCGCAACCTATAGTTCTGAATTGTAATCAGCATCAGAGTTAGACACGTGTATCAACAGAACAAATAGAGACCCCAGAAAGAGGCCACGCACATCTGCAAGGAAAAGTTAACAAATGTAATTATAATTTTCAGTGATTTCAAAATATATTTTCTAGCGTTTTCAGCAATGCAAGGTCCAGGTTAAAATTAGATTTCTGACTCAACTCTTCTGTACATTTGATACTTTCATGCAAAGAAAGCAAGATGGTCCTATTGAGCAAAATTCTAGTGTCAAAAAACACACCCAGAGTACTTTTGCTATGTTTTTGCTCCATCTACCCTCACTCGTACTTCCAAGTCCCAAATACTTGTTTTTATATATATTTACTATGAATTAACTCCAATTCCTCACATTTCAGAACCTTCTACATTCAGTAAGATACCTTAATTCCTGGTCTTTTTTGACAGATAAATAATTCTACAGTCTTGGCCTCAGGTAATAAGAAATATTGCAAGGAATCATATATCCTGACCACTAGGGTTATTTTTACAAAAGGGGAGAGGTTAGTACAGTGTTGAATTTAGTTATCTTCTAACAGCTATATTTAAAAATGCATTTGTATGCTAAGGGTAGAAGCGTGCATGGTAAGTTTCAGGTAGTGGGATGGTGCTTGTATCCCACTCATTAAGAAAACCTAATGAGTTAATTACCTCTCCCTGGAGCTCTGAAAACTGGGAATGCAGGAAGTTCCCAAAAGAAAAACACAAAACAAAACATGCGTCTCTGCAATTTCTGGAAAAACAGTTTCTTCAGCGTCACTCCTTTAGGGTTCTGCACACACAGTGTTAAGGATAAAACCACTGGAGACCTCCTCAAGCCACTCTCCATAGAATACACTTCTGGCAACTTACAGCCAGAGAATACAGTTTGTAACTTTTAAATAGGTCATCTGTTCACATGGTCTAAACACCAAATAATATGAAAAGGCATTGGGGGACACCTCCTCCTGCCTCGACCCCCGGCTCACCTCCACATCCCTCTACCCCTCCTGCCCCAGGCAGGTCACACAAACGGGATTTGTCTCTGGGCGTCTTCGTGACTCCTCATGTATGTGCAAACAAATACACACACGGCCACACAAACATCTCTGTTGTCCCCCTCCTGTAACAGTAGCTTACCACTGTGTCCTTCCTTTCGAATCACTACAGGTAACCTAGTGGTCTTCTCATACTAGTACCTGGAGGGGCTCCTCGTCATTTTCACAGCTGCCTGGGGTCCCACTTATTTACTTACGTGTCTGTATTGATGTACGTGTGTATGTGTATGTATGTACATATAAAATGTATTTAGCCAGAACATACTGACATTTAGTTTGCTTCCAGTCTTCTGTCGTTATAAACAATGCTGCACTGAACACGCGTGTACATATGTCATTTCACTCATGCTCAAGCATTGCGGTGTTAAGGGGTTTAAACAGGATTTTGACCATTTGTGCGGCAATTAAATGCCACCCACTCCTGAGGAGCACTGTTTTGGGTGGCATTCATAACACATTTTAAGGCAATGACATACAGTATTTACAGATGTTTTTCAGCCAAGCATCATGGCTTGAGACTGCACTTCCGGCTACCCGGGAGGCTGAGGAAGGAGGATGACTTGAGTCCAAGTGTTGGAGGCTACAGTGAGCCATGGTGGTACCACTGCACTCCAGTCTTGTGACAGAGTGAGATTTTTCTCTAAATAAATACACACATAAAGATGTTTTTCTCTGTTTCATTGAAAAAGCCACAGGGAGATAACTTTTTGTTCCTTGCTACTAGGGGGACGCTTCTTTTCTTGCTAGTGAGAAAATACAATTTTAAAAATAATTGTTTTCCTACTGATTTTTCGAGATGCTCTACTTTGGATAAGACTACCACAGGGTCCTTCAAGAGAAAATGGGGGAGCTATTCTGCACCCCCACACAAGGGAGCCTGGAATCAACCTGCCTTCAGCTAGTCTTTTTCTCCTCTGTCACCTGAATTTCCTTATCTGTTAGACAGGGCCCTCTGTCATACTCCGTCATAGAACATTTTTCCTTTTCCTTGCCCAGTGTTGAAAAGCAACAATTCTCTAATCCTGAAATGTGGACATTCATTCATTTAACCTGCTGATCTGACACAAGGCGATGCCCATGGTGCCAGCAGCTGGCTGATGCCCAGTATCACTTGTGCCCATGGGTGCTAAGAGCTCAAAAGAAGATGAGATGATATTTCCACAGCTGAACTGGAAGTGAAGTTAGGATTGACAAACCGGCACCTTCTGTCTTTCCTGAACACTTCATTGTTTCTCAGAGGATGGGACCCACCAAGGTTAGGGAGGGCGAGAGAGGCCAAATTTTGAGGAGGACCAGAAATGGCCGCCCTCCTCTGCGGGGTATGTGGCCTTGAAAGTGACATGACCACAGTCAAGATTCACACTGAAATAGAGTGGAGGGATCTCCATCCTTATCCCTGTGATGGCACCGTGTCATGGGCAAAATCCGAGCAGGCAGAAGTCAGACTTTCTTTATCTTCCTTAAGTTACTTGGGGACCCCACGGAATCAAGAACCAAAAAAGGCTAGGTGCTGGCACAGTCACAATAATGTGTGACGCTACAGTGACCTGCCTGATATAATATGTCCTGCCGACTCCTCAGTCTGACCCACAGCCCTCCCCAGAAACCACCTTGGACAGGTCCAGTAAACCCTCCGGGGTCACACCCAAAGTGGGCTCTTCATTGTTACCTCGCACGCTGTCTCTGAGAGCCTGGAAGGAGGCCTTCCTGAAACGCCCTCTCCTGCCTTCCAGGATGTGCTGTCCCAGCTTCCTTCCTCCTTGGCTTTCACGCTTTTGCTCTGGTAACTGTACACATGTGTACTGGACACAGTTTCCTAAGGCAGGTCACACACCAACGCCAAGGAAGAGTGGCTCGGCGGGACCACCCTCAGCTGCTGTGGCCCTGGCGTCACCCTCTCAAAGCTCCCGCCGGGATCTGACCCTCGCGGCTCCCACCGACCCCTCGGGCTCCTAAACCTGCTTCTGCCCCGCTTCAACTCGGACACCCGAGTCCCTCCAAATTAGAACTAGTCATTTCTTCCCCAGCCTGTGCTCCTCAGTTCATCTGTCAGGGAGTCACACTGTCACCCAAAACCCGGATGTCACCCGAGTGTCCTCCCTCCCAACCTCATTCCTGGTGTCTGCAGGATTCTAGGGACTCTCTCTCGAAGCTACTTGTGTCTCTCAGGTCCTCTCTTTGCCCGCTGAGACTTTTCTCCCCTACCTGGCCTCTCCACCCCAACTCAAAACAAATTTTCCACACTTTTGCATTGACAACTGCATACATGTGTACTAAATGCAGTTTCCTAATGTAAGGTTACACACCACAGCCAGAAACAAGAGGGGGGCTCAGCCAGATGATTAAAACACACATTCCAGCTCCACTGGGACCAGTCCCTGCCCCATTTTCAAGTCCCTCTGCAGCTTCCCAAACTTCCTGTTACTCCTTGGGACATTCAAAAGGGCTCTTCCCCCTGGGTTTCACTCACACAGTCCTCTACTTGACTCCCAGTGCGTGGACTGTTGGAGAAGGACACAGCCAGCCTCTGTCCCGCTGATGCTGCTGCCCACGGTGCAGAGCAGCCTCGGCCTTCCCCTTCAGGGAGAAGTTGAAGGATGCTCCCTGCCTGGCAGCCCCTCGGATCCCTGTGTGATGTCCATGAGGCACCTACTCCCTCTGGGGTGCCTGACTCTATTATAATGGCATCTGTGCCCTTTCTTCTGTTTATTTGGTGTATATGAGGCACAGTAATTTTCTTGGAAGTAGATGCTATTATTTTCTATTACCGTCTCCATCTTAAGGTAAGAAAGCTGAGTGGAGATAGAAAAATCGAAACATTTGGCCAGGTCTTTCCAGGAGCTTAAAATTGACGATTTGAGCTAGATACATTTCCGAAAAAAACATGGGAAGTCGTAGTTTTTTCTTGTAAATATGCTTTCCTTCAGATATTCAAAAGTCACTACACAATCAATTTTCCAAAACCTCTGCTTTCTTCAGGTCATTGCAACCCATGCTAAGCTAAGCTAACCAAACCTACCGTTGGTCAAGTATCAACAAGTGCTAAACAGTCACAGAGACCCATCTTCATGGAGGTCATCAGTAAACCAATGATCTGGACAGCAATTTATCTGTCCAGAAACATATATCTATTATTTCAAGCTAACTCCTAGCAATCTAGATCTTACAAATGAGTCTGATTCATCAATCTCATCTTTATTGCTCTTAAGTTTTTATGAGAAAAATATCAAACATATTCAAAAAACAGGGTATAGAATGATTAATAATAGAAAGGGTAAAATGAACCCCACTCATCCTTAATACTTACCATGAAATAGCCAATCTTCTTTCATCTATTCCCTACCTCTCCCCTGTCCCTGATTATTTTAAAGTAATTCCCTCACATCATTTCATCTTAGCATCCACTACTGACCTCCTCAAGGGCTGCGTTACCAGTTCAGAGCATGGTACACACCGCTGATAGCACCAGCCTCTAACCAGGCCCCTCACAAACCACAGGCCCTGACTGTGATGTGTGGTATCCAGGTAAGACACGAGTGCTAGCCTTATTGAGGTAAATAAGAACTAGTTAACTAAGTTTAAAACTCTGTTAAATGAGGAAAGCTACCAGAATTTCTGTTCCCTTATTTTTCTTTCTTCTCACAAATAACATTTACTTTTAGGCATAATTTTCTTATTTTTCATAAGTTTTCAATCATTACATAAATACTTCACTATTAAAAATCTGATTTGAAATTCCTTTTCTGACAGAAACATGAAGAAAATTTTAGAAAGAAATATGAACATTAGCAAAAATCATTGTTTTTTTAACCCCTGTAGTAACAGGGTCTAATAAACCTTGATTTAACTGGCAGATTAAAAGAAATGAACTCTAAATACTCTTCAATAAATTTCAATAAATTTCACATAGATGAGTAGGAGAAATTTGGCAAGCAAAAATAACATGTGATATTTGAAAAGAAGAAAGTTGAAAGGGAAATGGGCCTGAAATAGTTATAACCCTTACCTGGTTGCTGCCTAGACTGTATGACGGAATGAGATCTTGTCGGCTTCCAGACAACTGAAGAAGCAAGCAAGAACATAAATACATGGTCCAGGAAATACAAGGCTTTGACCACCTAGTCAACTGAATGCCAAAATCTGACGGCAGCAAGGGAGATATCGAGATCAAGGCTGCACACTAGTCTAAAGACATTGAACTGGCTACCACCAGTCTCCAGGTGGGAAGTTTACATGAGATCTGGACTTTCAGGTCACACTGAGGCCACAACTGGCTAGAACTGAGTGAGAGAGATGTCACTTGTTGGTCCTGTTCTTTGAAGGACACAGGCTACCAGCTATCGCACCACGGCCTGAGCTGATTCCTTTCTCTGGGTATCGTAGCAACTACAGACTCACCAACTATTTATTTCAAGCAAGTGGAGCCCAAACAGCAAATTTCTGCATGTATCAGTATATTTTAATATATCATTTTCTGAAGGAATGAGAAGCGATGTGCCTTGAGTGAAAGTGGTATTCCTGACTGTCCAAGGATGGCCCGATCGCCCTGTCTGAGGTCGCTAGTGGCGTCACTCAGCGGTCGCTGTGGGGCCACGTGGCTCCCTGGCGTGAAACCCCTCCTATCGCTCACTCTTCTTTCTCAAACGTTACCCCAAGGCCGGCTGCCCTTTCTCGTGATGCCTGCACTGTGGCTGTTCTTGCTGTAAAATCAAAACAAAAGGGTCATATTTTTCATACCTACCTCTTTATAAAAATGAGGAGAGGCACAGTTAAGTCAAGGGGCCATGAGCACATTTCTTTGTGAGAAATTACTGCCATGTTCAATATGCACATAAATTATGTGGGTTTTTTAAAAAATAGACTTTAGGCACTGTTATTAAACAACCTAACCCGTTTTACTCATTGACACCACCCTGAACAGCCTGTGAACAACTGGTTTGTGAACTTAGTCCAGGCTCCTTTCCAATTTAAAAATAATTAACTTAAAACCAGAAAATGGGCCAGGCTCGGTGGTGGCTCAGCCTATAATCCCAGCGCTTTGGGAGGCCGAGGTGAGTGGATTGCCTGAGCCCATGGGTTTGAGACCCACCTGGGCAACTTGGTGAGACCTCATCTCTACAATAAATAAAAAAAAAATTAGCCGGGCACGGTAGCGTGTGCCTGTAGTTCCAGCTCCTTGGAAGGCTGAGGCGGAAGGATCGCTGGAGCCCCGCAGGTCAAGGCTGCGGTGGCCGGGAGAGGCCACTGCACTCCAGTCTGCTCAAAAAAACAAAACAAAACAGAAATTGTCCTGGCTTGCCCTAGGCACTTGACTCGTTTTGGTTTAGTCCTATAAACATCCACTGAACATCCCAGTCTATGCTAGGGGCACTGATGACTGGAAGACAAGCGAGAAACAGCTACATCTCCTGTAACATAAGTAGGTGCAACAGGGACACAGACAAGGGGCAGTGAGAAGGGAAGGAAGGGGCCTGGGATACGAGACTGGAAGAGTGGAGAGGAGTTATCCATGTAGAGAGGGGAGAAAGGAGTCCCCAGGTAGAACACAGAACGGGATTCCAAGCGCTCACCCTGTTCACATTTGGAGAGCTAATACTCCGCCTGTTCAACTTCCCTTTTCCTGTTAACTGTTCCTTCACTGCAACTTCCTGTGAATCAGAAAACATACAGAGGAAAAAGACAAGTAAGAGACACGCCACAAAAGCAGTACAACCCAAAGCAGGCTTGCACCTACCATCTGTACACAGACATTCCTAGTTATTCAAATGACGGCTGTGACTTCACATGACAGAATGACCCCATTACAACCACTCTGGGTTATTCAAGTTCATCATCGTAAACTCTTCAAAGGTTTAGATACAACAATTCTGTGAATTACACACAAACACAGACTCAGGTTGGGGCAACTCCACTGCTACTGCTCCACTCATGCGATTGGCTGACCTGGCGCAGACGATCTAAGGTGAGGAGGTTCTCCACAGCCAGCACGCTCCTGAGGTACTTTTCAATGTAAGCCTCCGAGTCAGCAGAAGCTGGGTTTTCAACGTTTGCTGCCATCCTTGCTAATGCTTCCCGTTCCTCTACTCCCTGGGCATCCTAAGGAGAAGAAAGTTGTAAGTTAAAATTAAGTTTGTTGCCAGAGAGAACATCATAAAAGCTTCTTGATCCATGTGCAGACAAACACACGCACACACACAGTTCTGAACTAACAAACAGAATATATTCCAAAATTCCATTTTAAAGTCAGCTGGCCTCAGTCCTCAACTCTGGAATGGCAGGAGCCAAGCCTCAGAGCCACCGAGGAAGAGAGGTTATCTTAAATTCTCATGGAGCTTTCTGCAACAGCCATCCCTGCTCCTCTGACACGAGCCAGTCATGCACACAACAGGATATTCACAAGTCAGAACAGGACTTTATTAATGTATTTAATTATTTCAAGCAAAGTGGGTTCATAACAAATTACTCTTCTCAGGGAAAATCAGATACTTTATTTCCTAGTGAATTTTTTACAATAATGTCAAAAAACTTCTTACAATAAGTGTACATACCTATGCCACTACATCTTATATGCCATCAACTATAAGACAAAACATTTTATATAACTAAGAGAAAAAGGACCCTGCCAATTAATTTTAATATATCATCAATTATAAGATACATTCTAACTTCTAAAATATCTTTAAAATTTTAAATGAGTCTTAGAACAGATAAAGTATGGGAGGACTTGTGAGATGACTCAAGCTGACAAAAACTTGTCTCCTACAGCAAATCATTTAAGCCTCACAATACCATGAAAAGGGGGAATCACCCTCATTTCCTAGATGACAAAAGAGGAAGATCACATCATCAGCAAAGGAGGCAGGACTGAACTGAGGCTTCCCATGGCTGGTATTCTTTCACAGAATACTTTTAGTGTCTGAAGGGAACACACATTGTCCTGATTTTGTAAGGAGAGAGAAACAAACTGTCTCTTGCTGCTCTCTGGCCTAGGACCACTTCTTTTTGCCACAGTGCCCTAATGGTTTCTGTAACATAAAAAGAACTTTTGGGAGCTTTTTAAGATGGAACTAGCTTATTAAGGGATTTTTTTATTTTATATCTGTCTTTCTAATAAGTTTTATATTTCTTTAAAAAAAATTTTTTTGTTTTAAAGATGTGGAGTACAATTCAGGGTTAGGTATACAAATGTTCATTATGCAGATACCCTTGTTAATGAGATGCATCCCCTTTCCCCAGGCAGATTTCCACTATTGCCAATCCTACCCCCCCAGCAGTTTCCCACTACTACCAATCATTCTCTTATAGTATTACAGTATCAAGGTCCACTTATGAGTGAGAGCATATGATACTCAGTTCTTTGTTTCTGTGAAAGATTACTCAGTATTAGAGTTCATTTTTCCTTTATCATCAGGATTTTATCATGTCAGGTTTGCCAACTTAGATGTTTGACTAATTATTAAAGCTCAATCATATGAGGTTATGTTTATCTTCAAGTTAAACCCTCATATTTCTTCCTTTTAAAACTGTATCACCTGGAGAATAAAGGCATTTTTGAAAGGATAAGAAAACAGCAAGTGGGAGAGAAGGAGAGAGGGGGGAAATGGAAAGACAAAGACAGTTCACTATAGCCATCACTGTTTCTCAACTATATTCTAGCCATTTATATAGAGTTAAGATCTGGAACAACTAGAGAACACGTAAGATGCAGCAAATCCTTATGAGTACCCCACAACTTGCAACTAAAAATAAAGTGCAAAAAAATAAAAAGACGTTAAAAAACAGATTCGATTCAGAATAAATAGTAAGTCTATACTTGTTTTAAATCTTACAAATGACTGAATGAGGCACACAGAGTAATCTATTACAGGCCCAAGATTTTGCAGTTATGCTAACTCTGCAAACAGGCTTAGTTTTTAAACATTCAGCAGCCTCCCAATTAAACAGGAAAATGGCTATATTTACTATGTAAGTCTAACACGTTGACAACCCAGTAAAGGACTAGTTACTATTTGACATTCTTTGAGAGGAAAAAGCATTTTGCAGTACAAGCTGTCTAAAACAAAACCTAAGGTCTGTGTGATCTATTATTTTCTTTTTCAAAAGCTGATCTCTGAATCAAAACATACATTGTCCACCTCGTGTTCAAATGTGAACCAACTCAATGGACAAACCCTAAGCCCCGAAATGAAGAGGCCAGGTGCTGGTGCTGCTTGTGTGGTGAGGAAGGTTGTCCCCCCACGTCTCACACCCCCACCCTCCACTTGCTGGGAAGTGAAGTCTCTACCTGCTCACCCACCCTCTGCTCTTTGACAGTGAGTGTGGAGAAGAAGTTTCTTTCTCTTTTTCAGAGTCTTTTCCTCGGGACCCTTGCGTCTTCTCCCTGCACGGGACACCTCCATCCCCCAGCTGTGCCAGTGCCTGAGTGGATAAGTCTAATTCAGGAATCACATCCTAGGACGCATGGACAAAGTGCAACTCCCAGCAAGCTTCTATCAGGGACCGTTGCAAGTTCTGCTTGTCTGAATTCTCTTAATATCTCAGTTAATTCAGAAAGAGAAATGATAACGGTAGCAATAAAATAATAATCACGGTAACAATCATAGCAGTAATTACAACTTGGTTGGCATGTGCACAATTTCTGCACCTTCTCTCATCTAAACAGCCCTGTGTGAAAGGCGTTACTATCCCCATTGAAGAATGAAAAGATTTGGGCCCAGAAAAATCTGCCCAAATTCACGTGGCTCGTAAGTGACAGAAGCAAGATTTCTGCTTGGCTCCAGGATCAAACTCGAAGCTCTGTGTGTGCTATGTTGCGCTCCTTGGTGGGTCACACTATCATTCTCTTCTGTCTTCTACGAGTAAAAAGGTGTTGGTTTGCTTTTCAAACACAAGTTCTTCAACAAAATACTAAAACTACAACTTTTAAAGCTAGAAGTACAGTTTACAATGAATTAAGATTAGGAAATCCCCCTAAAAATCTGTAGCATTTCCCTAAATATATATTTTCAATTTGTACATATTTCATGGGTAGGTGACTTTTCAGGGAGTTAGCTCTTTCTAAGTGCTCATTTTTAGTAAATTCAAGTGGCTTATGATCCTTCACCTCTGGAATATTGGAGACAATTTCAAAAGTCACTCCACAGCCAGGAATAGAACTTCGATGAGACATCTTTTTTAGGAGACTCTGAGCAAAACCCTAGAGAAAAACAAAACAGAAGAGATGGTTTTCCACCTCAAAAACTGGGTTTATGTAAATAAGAAGAAAGCGTAAAGGATACTATGTTCATTCTGACCAAAAGAAAATAGAACACACCTCCAGCATAAACAAGTGAACTCCAAATTGCCAAATACGGTTTCCCCGCCCTCTTTCAAGTGCACACAACCAATTTATCAGACACCCGCAGTTTGTGACAGGCCCTACTCTCAACACAGGAAAAGTACAGACTGTAAGTCTGGAAACTGGCGCTAGGTGCCTGGATAAACTCTGCATAAATGCTACAGAAACAAGCCTGTTGACTTCCACACGATAAAATGACCTTCGAACTAAGATGGAGCAAGGACTGGTGATGCTGACATTTTTCTCCCCAGTACGATGGACATTTTGTACCATGAATATTGACAAGTTCAGGCATTAAATTCTTGACCAAAGCAGGATCGTTATGAGGAATGATTTAAGAGTGCACGGTCATTGTTTATGCTGACTGCGCTCTTTGCAGTTAGGAATTGAACTGTTGAATTAATGCATAGATGACTCATTGGAAGATGCTGCTGAGACGGAACACCCTGCAGAGGTTGAAAAGAGCAGGGATGAGGGTGGAATACCATTGCTGAATAAGGCCAGGAAAGAACACCACACAGGTACTGAGCCTTTCCCCTGTGAAAGGGAAGATAGAAACCTGTGAAACTCCCAAGACAACAGGAAAATCAAGCTATTTGATTTTTAGACATACATAATTTCACAAACTTACCTAAGAATAATTTATTTTATATTTAATGATCTTCAGTTAATTCTTAAAAATATGTTGGCACCTCAGAGTGCAAAGAGGCCATTCACTTCAACCCATCCCTTCTCTCCCTTGACCTTGGCCTTGCAGTGCTGAGCCAAGGCTGATTACCCAGTCAAGGTAAAGTTATAGATTTTCTCATGGCTGGCGAAGGGAGGCATGGATGACGTTGTGGTTGTACTTTTTTGTCTTCCATTTGTACGGAATTAATGGCTCAGATTACATGTATTTGGGTCATGGGAAGGCCCTGTTCTGGCTATACAAAAGTAATTTTTAGGAACAAAATATCTGAAATTGAGAGAGAAAATGGCATGCCTTAAAATACTTCCAAATCATTTCAACCAGGAAAAAAATGGGGCAACTCACTGTCCCTATAATCAAAACAAAACAAAAAAAAAACACAGTGACTCCACCATGTCCCCTTTCTGTTGAGGACTCTATGGGCTGGCGGCTGTGCCAGGTCAGTCTCAGGGTCTGGCACCCAGAATGTCTAAATCTGAAATGGAAAACCACTTTTCAAAAATGCTCCCCAAGAACAGTGTGTCTTTTTCAATCCCTTACAGACTTACGAGAAAAGGGAGACAGAGAGCGTGAATGGGAGACACACCATATATATCTATAACTGACCCCATGACCTGGATTTTATTGATGTTGGATTGCCAAGCTAAAGAGCTGCAATTTTAACAGCATTACCACCAGACTTCATTTCAAAGATGGATATCGGTGTGACATTTAGAACTAAAGATTAATTTTTAGGGGTGGAGATTACATCTGGGAGTCTGTCAACCATGCCTGTGCTCTTTTAAATGAAAAGATTTTCATCTGTACTGGTTTTAGTCTGTGTGTTGAGAATGACTCAAAAAAGGGAGAGAAGACAAAAGGGATTCCCAGACTCAGTCTCCCAAATCTGTATATTTGCAAAACCAGTAACAGAAAGAATTTAAATTCCTACCTGGAAGAGTTCCGCTACACCCCTTCATGTGGCATGGGGTCCCACATCATCCCGCCGGAGCGAGGTTGAGAGCCACGATCGTACAAACACAGCACCCTATCACACCGCACTCTGCACTGTTCTGAGCCTGCCCCACCCGCCCTTCCTCACTCTCTCTGCACATGTAGGCCCTCCTCTCCATGGAAAAGTTAGCTGCTCCTCCCCTGCCTGGCCAGTGCCCCTCCTCTGTAAAGTGTCAGCCTCCTCTCTGAAGCCTTCCCTGACTTCCTCAGCCTGGATTCCCCTTTTCTCACCTGCGACCTCACCACAAGGGAGGAGCAGCTGCACGAGGATGCTCATCCCCATACAGAGCGCTTGTCTGTCGGTGTACGCAATCTTTATATTGCAAACACACTTGGCCTTTTAAGGACACAAGGTCGCAGTAGGCTGCACTGGCTGTGTGCGCACTTTCGGGTTCAGCAATCCTCCCACCTCAGCCTCTCAAGTAGCTGGGACAGCAGGCATGTGTCACACCCCTGGGCTTGTAAAGTCTTGCTCCTATTTTTATCCCAAGACCAAACATGTGAATTAAAGACTGCAAGGGAAAACGGTCTGGAAAGAGAAGGGTAAGCAGCCCTGTGCTAATAAACTCTCAGCTGATCTGGCAGGGAACCTCCTCATCTTTCAGGCCACAGATGAAGAGGCAACAACAAAACCACTGAACTTGCCCTTGACAGGGCTGTGTGGCACCCAAAAGAAAGACTGTAATTTGTGACTCTACCATGAGAAAGAGTCAGTAGAACAATTGTAATACTGTCTAGGAGGAAGCGACGCAACTGGGGCCTGAAGCAAGCACAGTTACAGGACAGCAGCAGTGCCCTGGCAAAGAAAAGCTCAGAGCTTCCCAGAGCCTCCTTGAACAGAAGGCCCAAGCAATCATTCCACAGCCCTGCCCTCATGTCAGACCTGAGGTTCATATCATTTGTCCCACTGGAGTTACCTGCCGGCCATGAACGTTGACACAGATTCTTTTGCGTAACACCAACTGCATGTCGGCGGGATGGCTGAGTTGGACCGTCACGCGCACGATCAGAAACACGCGCTCATCCGCGGGCGTGCCCTTACTCAGCTGAGGACAGCTGTGGACTGCAGAGTCCCAGGAGGCTTCTGCTTTCGCCTAGAGAGAAGAGAAAGAAAACAAGTTTCCCTCTTCTCCAAAAAACGAAAACTCCCTCAAGGAAACGACCTTGACTCAGGCTGAAGGGGTACATTCCAGTCCATGAGCAGAGTTCTACGAGAACTGCCTTGAAAAGATGATGGAACATGAGGGTGTAGCCTCAGTCACCTTCGTCTGAAAAGTACAGAGATTGATGTTCTTAGCTGGCTTGCTTTTTTTAATATATATCTTTTAAATGCTCAAGAAAAGTTGGAAAAATTCAGAACAGTGATCTCCTGTGTGCCTTTCATTGAGATTTACCAACTGTTGATGTGGCCACTTCCACTTCTCTCTCACACTGCACACACACACACCCATACACACACATTTTTACTTTTGTTGAATCACTTTCCAGTAAGTTGCATATCATATTCAGAAAATTTAAGAATATAATACTGTTATTTAATATAGAATTCACTTTCAAATTTTTCACTTTTCCCAGACTAGATCACGTTGTCATGTCTCTCTAGTCTACTTTAATCTGGAATAGGTCCTCAGTCTTAGTCATGCTTGACACTGGCAAACTAGAAGGGTGCAAGTTCACTGTTCGACAGTACATACAGCAATTAGGTGTTTCTGATTGTTTCCTCACTAATAGATTCAAGTTTTGCATCTAATTAAGGATACCACTATGCTATGACATGACCTCAAAGCCTCACATACCAGCTTTCTTCCTAAGAATATTTTATAATTTTTAAAACACACTCAAAATTAGAGAATAAACCCCCATGATATACTCATTGCTCAGATTCAACCATTAAAACTAAAATTTCACCCCCACTGCCTTCATCGCTTCTTTTATTCGTTTTAAAGAAGTCTTGAAAAAGAATTTCAAAGCAAAACCCAAATCTGTACTATTTCACCTCCACTCCACGCACTTCAGGACATCTTCCCCAGCACTCACTGGCTGAGGCACAGAGCACCAAGATCCTGAGTATGTACCTCGGCTGTTCATACTAACTCAGCAGGAGTTACCAGAAAAGGAAGCAAAAAGGTAAAGGGGCATTATCTGATGCTCACGTTCCATTCTTTCTGGAAGTCATCATGAGGAGTTTTCATTTATATATTTTGAGAAATGCACGTGCTGAAATGATTCCCTGGCTGATTGTTTCAAAGGGCTCAAGGAAAAGCTAAGAAAACCACTTTTTATCTGAGCTTCCCAGGTTATGCTTCCCTTACCTCTCCATCATGCTGTTTCACAATCTGCAGTTCAAAGAACTCTTCTTCTTCTTCCCCTGTTAGAGTCGCATCCCATCCACCAGCTTCTGGGTCGTCAAGATTATCCTGAGAGCTGAAATCATCAGCTAAAAGCAAAGACATTCCATTAAATACCGAGATATCAAACGATAACCCTGATCGGCTAAATTTCAGTGTGCGTATTAAAATTACTCTCCTTCACATTTCAGTCTGCTTTTTGGTCTAAAACCTTACATGACATTGAGGATGACCAGTTAAAAGCTCACAGATCTTAGAGACAGAAAGTGCCTCAAGAAATTCTCTCTAGCCAGGCGTGGTGGCTCACACCTATAATCCCAACACTTTGGGAGTCAGAGGCTAAAAGATTGCTTGAGCCCAGGAGTTCAAGACCAGCCTGGGCAATATACAAGACCCTGTCTCTACAAAAAATAAGCCAGGTATGGTGGCACACTTCTATAGTCCCAGCTACTCAGGAGGCTGTGGTGGGAGGATCACTTGAGCTCAGGGAGTCGAGGTTGCAGTGAGCCAGGATCATGCCACTGCTCGCCAGCCTGGGCAACCCTGTTTCCCAAAATATAGTAATAGTAATCATCTCATCCAATCTGCTACCTTTATGCCTTATTTTGCAAGGAAGGTAAGTGAAGCCAAGATACCCAAGAGGTTATCCGGTGTCAGCTGATAAATGTCCATGACAGGATTACAATCCAAATTCCCTACTTGTTAGAGCACTAAAGCAATAAGAAGCAAAAATGATTCCAACTATCTGACAGGCAAGTTCAACAGAAAAACCAACTGGCTCCATGAGCTGGTAACGGAAGGGAGGCGCCATGGCCCTAGGGTTACTCAGCTCCAAGCCTGTTCCTCCAGCTCCCACCCAACTTAGGCTTGTGAGGAGGAGTCCAAAGTCCCTTTTCTCGTAAGTAGGCATGGGGGACTGAGAATTGTACAATGCTGGCTAAAATCCTAATCATCTTTTCGAATACCCAGACCAACAGATCTTCCTTAAGCTGATTTTTTTCTACTTTCTTCAGAAGAAGTGCCAGAAGAGTGCACCCTCCTCCCCACAACTCACACATGAGCACTTCATGCATCTAGGAAGTACAGAAGGACAGACCAGAGTCACTCTCAGTCCTCAAGGTCAAGACACAAAAGTAAGGTAAGATAGGATCTGGAGGCAATACATTAAAAAAACAAAGAACTCCCAACCCATCAGGTAGACAGACAGCAGTTGTCAGTGGCTCAGCATTATTCTCTAATTCTACATCTATAAAAGTCTTCCATATAAATAAATGAAGTGGCACAAAATACTAAATACTTCAGATCGTATAGCTCACTGTCAGCTCGGTGGAAGAAAACCACTGAGGACACCCGAGTTTGTCTGTCTAGGAGAGTTTCTTCTGCAGATGTTTTAGGAATTTAACTTATTTAACTCTGACTGTTAACTTATTTGTAGCTCCTTAATACCTTTCCATTTGTTTTCCCTCCTACAGGCAGGATATACGTAAAATGTATCCAGACCCAAAATACCTGACATGGGGGCAGGAAGCAGAAGAAAAATGAGTTTTCTTGTCTCTTTAAATAAGCATTGCAAGGTGAGTGGCACAAGAACTCACAGGAAAAAGTGAAAGCTGAGAAAATATCACAAAGAGAAAACATGCTCGGTAAGGATTGTTAGTCACTAGTCCTTTCCAGAGCGAGGTCCTTCCCTAAGAATTAAAGAAGAAAATAAAGAAGCAGCTGCTCACAATGGCTCATGCCTGCGATCCCAGCACTTTGGGAGGCTGAAGTGGGAGGACTGCTTGGGCCCAGGAGGCCGAGATCAGCCTGGGCAACACAGCATGACCTATCTCTGCAAAACTGAAAAACACTAGCTGGTAGGGGCAGCATACTCACAGTCCCAGATACTCAGGAGGCTGAGGCAGAAGAAGTGTCTGACCTAGGAGAGTGAAGCTGTGGTGAGCTGTGATTGTGACACTGTAGTCCAGCCTGGGTGACAGAATAAGAGCAGAAAAGAAAGAAAAGAAGGGAAGAGAAAAGGAAGAAGAGATGCAAAACACACTACCACCGCCCTAACATGTTGGGAGAACAAGGCGTACACACAGCATTTGTGGGCTGCAGCAGCGAAACGTGAGAAAGCTTCACCCTGAAGCACACCAATTACTGTTATAAAAATATGGCTTTCAAGAACACCTCAGTCTCTGTCAAGAGCCAGAGTACATGGACCCACGTAAAACTGGCTCTAACCTTAGGATGGCGGTTTTTGCCTAACAACACATTGAGTTAGAATCTGGGTGTTGCGTGGGCACAAATCTGTCAGAGTAAAGCCTTCAGAAAACATCTCCTAACTTACCGTTTAAGTCAAGGAATATAACAGGAATGTGGGTTTCCATCCCAGGCACTGGGGTCCTAAAACGTGAAGAATAAATAGCATCTTAAATCAAGTAGACTTTCTCAGCCATGCACTTCAGGGCACAGCGTTGATACACATTCAGAGCTGTTACAGGACAAAGCAATGATAAACCTGGGGTTGGTTTTACTACAATCCAACATCAGAGATGCTACAAAGACTTAACTGCAGCTTCTGCTTCATATGCTCTGAGGCTTGAACTAAGTCTTCTAAGACACACATAGCTGCTTATAGTGAAGTTCCCTTATTCAAACCTATTTTCTTATAAAATGATATACTTAAGGGTTCCCTCTGGCTTCATTTACTATTTTTAATTTCTATAAAGGAGCACAGAACATTTGCTGACAGGACAGATTAAGCCAGCACCAAAACCAAAAACGCGTGGAGATGCAATTTTCTTATGACTGAACAGTCTTTTAAGAGAATGACCCAAGTAATTAACATATTAACTGTTTTTTTTAATGCTAAGTGCAATGGTACTAAATATTGATTTAGGTTCTCAGAAATCTTAATGACTTTGGCCAATAACAATATTATTAAATAAAACAGTTTTAGGCCATGGTTCTTCAACTCGTGAAAATAATTTAACAGGTCCTTGAATTCAAACTTCTTCCTGGCCAGGTTCGGTGACTCAGCCTGTAATCCCAGCTCTTTGGGAGGCCAAGGTAGGCGGATTGCCTGAGCCCGCGGGTTCGAGACCCGCCTGGGCAACTTGGCGAGACCTGATCTCTACAATAAATTAAAAAAAAATAAAATTAGCTGGGCGTGGTAGCGTGCGCCTGTAGTTCCAACTACTTGGAAGGCTGAGGTGGAAGGATTGCCGGAGCCCAACAGGTCGGAGCTGCAGTGGTCGGGAGCGGCCACTGCACTCCAGTTTGAGTGACAGAGTGAGACTCGAACTCAAAAAAAAAAATAAACAAATAAAATAAAACAAACTTTTTCCCCCATGAGGTTATGACCTTCCATTAATTGCAGCACACGCACCATTCAGACTGAAAGCAGGTGGCTTGGGGAGCGTTCAGAACATCTCAAGACACATTAGAGAACACTTACCATTCTGCGGGGGCCCCTGGAATCCCACTACCAGCAGAAGGGACCATCACTGCATTCCTCTCCTCAGTTAGGGTCAGCCGCATCTCTAGAAGTTGTGCTTCGCGGTCAGCATCATCCTCTGTTTTATCTAGAACATCGGGAACGAGGATTCAGTTAATACAGAAATCTCATTTGCTATTTATACTTTAGTCCTGACTGAAGCCTGGATTTGTCTATATTTTGGTTATTAGTTGATAAATGCTCGTTGGTGATTAAAAAAAGATAAACCCACAGAGGCCATCTTTAGTTTATGATGTACCCTCAGAAGAACAGGACAGGGTGACTGGCCCAGAGGCCGATAACTCCAGCATTTTGGACAACAAATGTCAGCACCTTCCTTGAAGCTGTTTTTGAGGGATGAAGTTTGCTTTGCATGCTGTCTTTTCTCTCTTTGTTGGGGCCGGAGGGGATGGGAGGGCTATGCCAAGACACCATTACAACGGGATAAAGAATATGACACTAACAAGAAGTAACAGTCATATACTCTTGCCATGCCCGTTACTTACTTGTTCCTTTGGCTCTTGATTATGTGGCTATAAATGGGGATTCGTGAATTATGCACTGATTTGGAAGGGCGGGAAATATTTAATTTGCTTTTCCTACCATGTTTACTGACAAGCTTTTGCAGTTGTTGATCCAAGTACTCCTGACGCTTTGTTAATGCATTTAGCCATTTTCTACGAAGTCTCTCTAAATCCCGATCCTGAAAGAAAACAAGGGAAATCATATTCAATATAACATCAAGACACAATATCTCAAACCAATGCTCTAGCTTACCTTACTCTAATACACTTCAAAAATATCAGGTTTTTTACAATAATTTCTCTGTTACCTACAGCAGTGGACTTCAGGATAGCTGATAATTCAGAAGAGCTACCCCCAGAATTTAAAGAAGTATTTTCTAGAGTAGGACTATTTCTGAAAGGCCATTCTCTGGCATCCAGAACCAATTTTATTTCAGATGGCTCAGAGGCAGAACCCCAAGCACATGGAACAAAAATCCTCCAAAAAGTCTCTGCTGCATAAAAATCACAAGGAGTAATCAATAATCTTCAAATGCGTCTACCTTAGAACAATTAGATGTCGTAACCACTGCCTTCCACATGTTTCCCTAGGCTATTGAAGGCAACAGCATGTAAATGCTTTTCTTCCTTGTTTGGGGGCGTTTTGCGGGGTGAGCGGGGGAAGGAGAGGGGACAGGGTAGTCGCCAACAGAATAACAACTCTGCCAGTCAACACCTGCACGCACACCAATCTTAGCTCATTTTCTTTTCTAATACGGTTACAAGACTGGGTAGGTTAGTGGAATGCTGCAGATACTGTGTGTCTGGACTTTACTAGGGCACTTAACCAAATAGCCTATGACATTCTTGTGGACAAGATGGAGAAATGTGCATTGTATCTATGTGAGAGAAACCACAGAGGATTCAAATATCACATCCAAAGAACAGTGATTAATGTCAGTACAAAAGAAGTCTCCATTGTGCCAATGGAGTCTGTATTTAACCCTATCTGATACAATGTTTTTATCAGTGACTTATAGGAAGGCAGACGATTCTATCAAATTAGGATGATACAAAACCAGGAGAGTGACTACACAGGATGACATAATCAGGCTCCAGAGAGCTCTGACAGTCCTAAACAATGACTAACAAGATGAAACTTCACAGACATAAACAAAATCTTGCAGGAGGTTAGGGAAAAAAAAGAAAAAAATATTTAAAATGGCAAACCCTGTATGATTCCAGGAAGTGGAATAGAAGATCTGGCTTAAAGTATACAAATTATCCAGAGCTTGACTGAAGCTCAGAATGAGACAACTGTAATGGGGCAATGGGTGGGTGACTCCACTCAAGGAGAGAAAAAGTCTAAGGAAGAAGATAGGGAAAAATGGACCTTCAGGGAACCTGGCTGGGGAGGTTTGGAAAAGGATGGCAGCCAGGTGCAATGGCTCATGCCTGTAATCTTGGCACTTTGGGAGGAGGAGGAAAGGGGATTGCCTGAGTTCAGGGGTTTGAGATCAGCCTGGGCATATCGTTTCCATGATAAATCAGGAAATTAGCCACTCGTGCTGATATGTACCTATAGTTCTGGAAGGCTGAGGCAGAAGGATAGCCTGAGCCCAGCAAGTCGATGCTGTGGTGGCCCTGAGCATGTGACTGCACTCCAGCCTGGGTGACAGAGTGAGACCCCAACTAAAAAAAAAAGAAAAAAAGAAAAAAAGGAAAACGACAACAGTTGCAAAAACTTCCTGCTCTTAACACACTTTAAGATGTATGAAACAAGCCGGGCTCGGTGACTCAGCCTGTAATCCCGCGCTTTGGGAGGCTGAGGTGAGTGGACTGCCTGAGCCCACAGGTTTGAGACCCTCTTGGGCAACTTGACGAGACCTCATCTCTACAATAAAAATCAAAAATTAGCCGGGTGTGGCAGCGCACGCCTGTAGTTCCAGCTCCTTGGAAGGCTGAGGCGGAAGGATCGCCGAAGCCCAGCAGATCGAGGCTGCAGTGGCCGGGAGCGGCAACTGCACTCCAGTCTGGGCGAAGAGTTAGACTCCAGCTCAAAAAAAAAAAAAAAAAAGATGTATGAAACAATACTCATTGTTCTCTATCCTGTTTTACTTTAAAAGAAAAAAAGCAGTATTTGAATCAAAATGAATTGTTTAGTCATTAAGTGGCAGTGTATAGCAAGATCCAGGAATGTGTAACTGTGCACTTTCATCAAGCTTATTTGATGAGGCTAATAGGTGCTAAATTACCTGGTAGCTGTCCATATCCTCCTCTTCCTCCTAAAAGAAAAAATAAGTTATGTAGACCCAAATTAATAATTATTCATCCAAGAACTGGACTGTGCTAAACAATCTGAATCTTTCCCCATAATTTATATTTCAATCCAATTAATACACTATGTCACCCCCCACCCTACCCACACCCTCACTCTGAGCTTTATAGTTCTCAGGAAGTTGGAGTAAACCTTGAGCTTCTCATGGGAAAGTGAAGAACACTCGTTTGACCTTTTCAGGAACCAGTACAATACTTTCCCTGCTGGTTTTATAGTCCCACTCACCAGGGGAAATCAAACACCTGCTGGCAAAAAGTCTTTACAAGCCAGTAGGGGGTTTCTGCAGAGGGTGGGGTGACGCTGAGGAGGTTAATCACCATCAGGCACAGCGGAATTTGTGGAGGCGGAGATGCTTTAACCCTCAGCTTGCCATATACACCAGGGCAACACTAACAACACAGTCTATTGCAGTGACTCCATGAAAATGCGATACACTTAAAAAGCAGCACCACAGGAAAACAAAGGTCTCCTGAAAGAATCGTCCACAGAAAGTAGTTTTCATACAGGCTCCAAAAGCCTCTCTGCTCTGGTTTTGTCTTTCAACAAGAATTTAACAGGTAGAGAAACTTACATGAAAGGTCTCATGAGTTTTGGGGGATCTGAGCGGTCTAACTTTTACACATCCGATGCCAACAGACAATACACATTCTTCCATCAGTGGCAAAGTCCCAGATTCCTGCACAGACTTCACTTCAACTTGAACTCGCCGGGACTGTCCCTGGATCACAGACAATTTTAAGCATCTTAAAATCATTTTTGGTTTTCAAAAATTTGGTTTAGAGAGACCTCTATAGGCTGATGTTAAGAAAAACATTTTACTTTGGAGACTATCACCAAAACCTTATAAATGTTCAACACCAAAATACAAATTCAAAAACTAATCAGGGAAAATTATTTCCTTTTTAATCAAGTTGGAAAAACACATTTTTCTTTCAATAAAAGGAAACATTAAAGAAAACATTCTAACAAAGGAAAAGCAAACAGTTGGCCAATTAGGAAAGCTTAACTTACTGATAAATAAATACAAATTAAAATTAGTGTTAATATACCTTTATTTTCATTCCTAAACTAGCAATTATCTTTTTCCCCTGCATATATATCAGAGTAACAATTATCTTTTAAAACGACAATTTTCAATATTGCCCTAGTTTTATGAAACAAGCAATTTCATACACCGTAGGTGGGAATTTAAATCGGTGCAAGCTTTTTGCAGGGCAATTTGACTTAAAAATATAAGTATCCTTTGACTCAGCAATTCAACTTTCTAGGGATCTAAGTAAATAATAATGCATATACATAAAAAAGTTAAAGCATTTTTAAAGAATAACAAAAAATCAATATAAATGTGCAATGTTGATAACTTTAAATAAACTATAGTACATGTAATGAAACACTACATAGTTACTACAACACTGCTGTAGAAAAACATAGATGGCATATTAAATCAAAGAACAGATTACTAAAGTCAGTATATACGATGTTATCATTCAGAATAGTATATGAGACTTGGTATATTTACAATGAGGAAATATTTTAAAAGAGAATCCCCAGTATTCTCAAATTACTGACTTCAAAACTTGGTTTATAAAATTTAGGAATGTAAAACAGCATTTGAAAAATGAAATTTAAATATTCAGTTTCAAGTCAATTACTCTTGCCCTCTTCCATCAGATTTTAGTTCCCAAGAGCTTTGCATGATCAGGAAAATCAACTTAGGCAATCACTGATTCTATCAAGCTACATTTGAATGGATGAGATACAGATGTCTTTTGATTTAATAATACCAAGGACTACACATCAGATAGTTTATGGGAAAAGTCCCTTAGAAAACATTTTAACAGGCTACTTAGTTTTGTCATTTCAATTAGCTACCTTTTACTTGTTTGGTTTTTCTAAGTACTTTCAGGAGTAAGGATGAGGTGTGCACTTTAAGGGAAGATTCAAAACGGGAGGGAAGAAAAGGAGGGAAAGAATCCAAGAATGGCTTGATGTGTCACAAAAAAGCCTTGCAAGGCATACTTAAATTATTAGACTGAACTTCTTGTAACTGCTGATATTTGATTATTTGTTCCTACAAAAACAACAATTTTGCCGGGCATGGTGGCTCATGCCTGTAATCC